CTCCCCCCCGCCCCAGTCCGAGTTATTTTATAATCCCAACATAACTCAGCTCATACAGCAGGTCTGATCTCGTGTGCCGCTGCTAAGGGAAAGGAAAATAAATTTATAGTAAAGCCTTTTGGAAAGGTTTGCTGGAGGAGTGTGGGTGGTGGTGTGGGGGTTGGAGGCGTTTTGGGGGGGGGGGGGGCAGAGAGATCCATGGTTTTGCACCTCCCTAGCTTCCTTCTTTCGTTACTACAGAAAATCAGCTGAGCTGCTTCTTTGGAAAAGTCTGCCCGCGATGCAACCACTTCCCCCAGGAGCGTGGGCAGGTCCAGGGAAGGACAAGGTCACGCTTGCCCTTGTGCCTCTGAAATGGTGTTAAAAGCCCCAAATCCTGTGCCTGGCACTTGCTGCAGGACGGAGCTCAGTGCTCCCTGTGTTGCAGAATGATGGGGTACCCTGTGATGTGCCGCGCATCCAAACATCGCAGCCTGCCCCACGGCTGCGAGGAGACGTCAGATGCTCGATATGGGGAAGAGTTCAAGTAAAAATGCTAATATTAGCATCGAGCCACGATGCCACAGACCCCACCCCACCGGCTCCCAGGTGACGGTCGGAGGAGGCAAAGTGGCTTACGGGGTCCAGGGTGTCCGTGCCTCTCGTCTCACCCCCCTGCCAGGGTGTTGCGAAAGAGAGGAGCTATTTTTAGGAGTTCGGTGATGTTAATGTTTTGGTATTGAGCAACAATGCCGTCCCTGTGCTGATGGATCCCATCGCCCAGCGCAGCACTGGGGCAGCGCTGAGGGGTGACAGCAGCCCCTGCTCCCTCGCTGGGGTGGAGGAACCAGGACTACTTTAAAGCCCAACATCCCCCGTTGGTCCAACGTGCTTCCCCTACCTGAATTTCAGTATGATGCCCAGTGTCATGCTACTTCTCAGAATAATCTCAATTAGGGAAGCGGCTGCCTCCCTGCAGTTGTCATTCAGCTGTCCCGTCTGGGGGGGATGGCATTTGAGGGGATGGAGAGTTTGGATCTCAGCATCCCTCATGAAGGATGCCCCGGTGACATCGGTCCATGGGCACCAGCGTGCTCCTGGGCGCTGACCCGTGATCGTCTCCACGATACCCCTCTCTTAGGGCTGATTCCCGTAGAGGACCTGGGACACTTGTCGCACATGGCCACGATGATGCTCTTTGTCCCAGCTCCCACACTCATCTTTGCTTGGAAATGGAGTTTTTCAGTTTGACTTTTCATTGTGTATGTGGTACAAGGCCCAGTGTCACTGCCTGATGTCACTGCGATGGATGAAGCACGTGGTTATCTCCACCCATCCAACCACAGAAGGAAAAGCTGCGTGGGCGCAGGCGCTTGCATCTTCTTCTTGCCACCACGATCTGTAGTAGATGCAGGGTGCGGAGAGCCCTCCTCCGCGTGCCACGGGTCGATGGATGTGTTTTGGTGCCTGCCGCTCGCCCTCCTCCTCCTCCCCCAAGCAAGTAAGTGCTCGTTTTCCCTCGGTGGTGGAAGGGAAGGAGCCCACAGCGGGCTTTGGGTGGTTTTAGGGACTCCCGGGAGAGCGGGGACAGGGCTGGCATTTGTGGGACCAGCGGAGCCAGGTGCAGCTCTGCGAGGATGGAGTTTGTCCCAAGGATGTTGGGCGAACCGGAGTGAAAGATGCCCAGCACGACCCAGTGCCGGCCCCTCGCTCTCGTGGGGGCCCCCTCTGCTAATAAGTGAATGCATCAGGTCTCAGCTCCGGCCCAGCTGCTGCCAGATGTGCACCGGCTGCCGAGCTTGCCGGTCTGCTCCGTGTTCAGGGTCTGTTCCCCTGTGTGCTCTCTTGGAGTCTTCCGTGCTCCTGTGGTTTCGTTGTGGGGTATTTAGGGCTGTTTGGAGATGCTTTCTGCCTCTTTTCAGGCAAGGGGAAATGGGCAGAGACGCTGGCTCTGCCCTGGCCCCCTCCCCACAGCCTCGAGGAGGGTTTTACCACCGGACGAGCCCTCCAGCTGCCTTGTCTGCTGTTGCAGCAGAATTTCCTTCTTTGACTTTATCTCCCCGACCAGCTCTTCCTTCCATGCGGTCAGAGATGCCTGTTCTCGATGTCCCGGAGGCGTCACTGCGGGGCCAGGCGGGGGGGACCAGAAATGCAGAGCCCTGGGGAGACATGAGTCTGGCTGCCCGGCTGAGCCAGGATCAGTTCCTTTTCCAGGAGAGAAAACATCCATCCCCAGCCCAGACTCGGCAGCACTGATTTTTAAAATAAGTAGGCAAAATAAGAGGGAAATGTCTTTCTCCTCGGAAGAAGGGAGAAGCAGCTGCAGGGGGAAGAAGCCACCCGTTTTCTTGCCTGTTCGTGTAGGTGAGGTTGGCCTCTCGGTCTAGTGATGAAAAGGAACCTGCCTGACCTTTCTGAGCCATTGCAAACTCCTTCCTGTGCTTTCATTTTGCACCTCTGGCACCCTTGCACTCCCTTTGCACGTGGGAAGCAGCATGGGTGTCCTGTAGCTGCAGGGGAACCTGGTGCCACTCCAGGCACAAGCCCTCGGGGGATGTGAAAGCTTCTTGAGGGACCTCAGCCCCGAGCCTCAGAGGCAACTAGTTTATTTAAAATAAAAAAGAATTCCCTAATTCCCGCAATCGCCCCGCGACGGAGCGGTTCCTCAGCGCTCTCTGCATCCAGCGTCGGTGATCCGGCGTGCATCCTCCTCCCCAGGGATGCCCCAGGTGAGCTGGCAATGTGCGCCGGCAGCCCGGAAAACCAATAATTGTCTCCTGGGCTGCATAAAGAAAAGCGTGGCCAGCAGGTCGAGGGAGGGGGTGCTCCCCCTCTGCTCCGCTCTGGTGAGACCCCCCTGCAGTACCGCATCCAGCTCCGGGGTCCTCAGTACGGGAAAGACACGGACCCGTTGGTGCGGGTCCAGAGGAGGGACACAAAGGTGATGGAAGACCTCTGCCGTGAGGAAAGGCTGAGAGAGCTGGGCTTGTTCAGCCTGGAGAAGAGAAG